TCAAATCGCTACAGTAATTTTCCCATGAAAAATGACGAAAAATGCAGTCCAAACACAATCTAAGTTTGTTTGGATAGTAGATTATTCATCAAAATTTATTTGCTTGCATCATTAATATCATACTAAAAAAGTATTACAGTATTATTTTTTAAAAAATTATCCCAAATAATTTACTATCTAAACACGAGTTGAAAAAAAATTAATGGTGGCATAAAGCAAGATTTTAAGTAGTTTATTAATGAAAAATATTATGCACATTTACAATAACATTTTATAACAATAACAAATTTACCATATTGGATAATTAGCCATGAATATTTGAGTGTGAGAAAAAGACTTCCTAGTAACAATTTGTAGATTTTGAGTAAATACCATTAGCGCTTTAATACTTTCTTACCATTCGAATGATGATATTATCATTTCAACCAAAAATCAAAATGTTATAACACAAATATATAATGGTTTGTGGATTGGATTTGCAATTTTCCATAAAACCATTTTAGAGAATTTTTTTTAAATACCATTCAACTACCTTTTTTTTTTTGTCACATATCCATTTATCCAAATGATTTGTAATAACATATTGTTCCTAAAACTCATCCTCACAAAAAAAAAAAAAAAATCCGACTTTGTCACTAATTTATGAAAGTATGACAAAATTGATCCATGCTAGATTAAGGTTAGACATCGACACATTCCTCAAAAATAAAAAAGAAAATTATTGTCATTCAAGTGGAGAATAGTTAGGCAAAGGGTTGCATTTGCTTTGCATACGTAAAAAGGGATAATATCATAAGCCTCCCTAATGTTTCTCTTTATATCACCTAATACCCTTAAGGTTTTGAAAATATTACTTACCTCATTACTTTTGTTATTTGTGTAACAAAAATTTGAAAAACTCTAAAGTACCATTTTACTCATTAAATAAAAATATTTCTAAACCACTTTGTTTACTCCAAGAGAATTATCACCTGAAACACAATCTCTAGTAGCACTACTACATCACAATGTTATAGTCTATAAAGTATAAATTAAAAAAAAAGATATTTGCAAGGAAATACACTAGAAACAATTTAACTCTATATGTTCAAAATCAATTTCTTATGACCTTATATATTTTCAACTTCTTCTTAGCCTGTCCTTAAACTTCGAAATTGTACTGATCATTATGAAATTTAACTCAAAATAAATAAAGAAATCATATCCCACTTTATGAAAATCACAACAAGCAAAAGATAAAACAAAATTTAATTTGCTATAATTTATAAACAAAAAATTGCATAGTTATCCAAAAAAAATGAGTAAGAGAGAATATTGGAGAGAGGGGAAAGAGAGAAAATGACTTTTGTTTCTTTTTTCTTTTTACCTCTATTTATTTGATATGTTTATTACATATCATATGAGAGTTAATATTATAGTCTTTTCACAATTACTAGGAAAGGCAAATGATTATTTTTAAAATTTTAGAGATGCCAAGTGATATTAGGAAAAACATCAAGGTAGGTTTCTAATATTATCCCAAAAAAAAATCAAAACTTTATGAGAGTCCATCATTCTCTATTGTTAGGTTTGGTCTACGCCCTAGGATATTTTGTTGGACCTGCCTACAATTTGGTACAGTTGTTGTACTTGGGTACTCTCTGAAGCTACGTACTATGAATTATGATAGTTCATGTGCTCCAATTCCTTTTTGACAGCTTCTTTACCAAGCCAAAGCCAAAATTGCATCTCTCTCCAATAAATAAATAAAATTACATATCTTTTTTCTCATTTTCTTTTTTTTTTGGCGGAAATCTTTTTCTCATTTTCTTGACAAAAACAAAATTTACTTTTCTAATGCTGACTTTTAAGGGTAATTACCTTTCCAGATAAGTTGTAATAACTATAGTCACCCTCTATCTAATTCTTAGAATTATTTTCGTTTGAATATCAAATTTTTTTTAAATAATATTTCGCTTGCATCATACATAAATTTTTCAATCCATCTTTTTATATTTTCAATTACCTTTTTATCTTACATGCATTATATCACAAAAAATATTATAATAATTATTTTAAATAATATTTTATCCAAACAAACCCCTTAGCATTCTAGAAAATATTTATTTGCACTCTCATTTTTATTAATCATAATCCAACTATCATTTTAATGATACAGTTTTTACTTATCAGATTATATGATAAAATAGATGGTGAGAGTATAAATAACAAATAATAGAATGTTGACATTTCCTTAGCATTCTCAAATAACGTGCTAGAAAAATGTTCATCATTCATTATACTTCACTTATACTCTGACTACCTTTACATACTATTGGAAATTTATGAAGGTAAATATGACATTTACACGGCTTATTTTAGTTTCTTGTACCTTTTTTTCACAGTACATACTAATAAATTATTAAAAATATATGAAAAATGTCTAAAAAAACTAAAAATGAAATGGTTGTATTTGGTTACAAAATTATTTTTAATATTATATATGCTATTTGCATCATAAATATATTTTCTAAACTATTTTTTTATTTCACATATATCATGTTATAAACAATATTGCAATAATTATTACAAGTAATATTTCAAATAATAACATATTCAAATACACATGTTATAAATATCATTACAACGAAACAAAATCAAGTTGAAAAACAATCTCAAGTACCACATTTTCTTTGCTCGAAATCGTCGTATATTCTGGATTTCACTTATGTTTTGTCCTTATTTAATTATCACGTGTATTGATTAATAAGTTTTAGGATTCTATTGTGAATAAATTCAACCATCAATAACTCTTAAAATTTTATTGACGGATAAATTCAGCAGCATAATATACATGATATTTAAACAAAAAAACCGGACAGAAATAAAATGAGATAGATGATTTGAAGCGCATTTTCTTGTTAATATACTCGAAATGATTATGGGGCTCACATCTCTAGACTTGAAAAGTTTAATGCTTTTCACGAATCGAAGTGAATGAGCATCCATTTCAAAAATAAAAGCACAGTAAACAAAGGCGATGGCACAGTATTTATTGAGTGCGCCTGGCAGAGTCCAGTTGGCATAATTGCCGTCAGCAAAGGGAAAACCAAAAGGACAGGGGATAATTAAAGTGAAGCGCTTCCCCATCATTGATCATTCTATAGGCCCCATGCCCACCCCTAAACTGTACTCTACCCTGGAATTTCGGGCATCACATTTGTCCTTATTTTTTTGGGACCAATTTCGGAATTTAAATATAACTTGAAGTAACTTCATCCTTATTTTTTAAAAAGTTTTTTAAATTTGTAAATACAATTCGTAAATTGATTTAAAATCTATCATTCGAATTGCTATTTTTTTGGAGCTTTGATAAAAATGTATTATATCGATTTAATGTATGTAAGATAAAAAAGTAATTAAAAATGTGTTCATGAAAATTGTGTTTGGATTGCATTTTCTATGATTTTTTATAGAAAAATTACTATAGTAATTTGATGTATGTGAGAAAAAAAGATAATAGGTAAATATGATCAAGAAAAACGACGCAATTTTCCGACGAAAAATGGTTCAGAAAGCTACAGCCCAAACATAGCAAATTATTGTAGTGTTGAAATTCTTAGGCCTTGTTTATATTGCATTTTTTTGGGATTTTTTTAATAGAAAAATTACTGTAACGTGAGATAAAAAGGTGATTGAAAAATATATTCACAAAAAACCTAGCAATTTTTCAAAATTGCCTAATGACCACCTTAAACAGGAGGAAAGTCTTAATAATAATCATTAGTCATGGTGAAAAAAGAAACTTTGATGAAACTATCAAGGGTTAACTAAAACCTTTTCTTTTGTTTTTTGTCTTATGATAACCCTAATTAAAACATTTCAAATTATCTCTTGCTAATAAAATCCTTCCACTTTGTATAGAGGTTAACATCCTTCAATTTTAAGTACTGCTCTTTCAAATTAAAATCAATTTCCACTGCCTTTTAGTCATATTTTGGACCAGATCCAATATAATGGAACAAAATTTGTAGGGCACACCGAGTAAAACAACCTAGATTATTCTAAATAATTACCATTGAAGAACAATTTTTTGGCTCTGTTTGGATTGTAAATTATTTGAAATATTTTTACTGTAATATTTTTTATGATGTGATGTATGTGAGATAAAAAGGTAATTGAAAAGATAAAAAGATGTGTTGAAAATTGTAATGATGATGTAAGCAAATAAATTTTGAGAAATAAGCCTATATCCAAACAAAATAAATTCGAATGTCAAACGTTTAGTTAGAAGTCCATCATGTCATTAAGTGGATTGATTAAGATTAACAATGATGGTTTTTGGATCCAACGTACTAATTCTCATAAATTAGACCATTTTTTTGCTATCGTCGTTATCTATATAGTATAATTCGTTCTTTTTTTTTTTAAAAAAAAATTGTCCTCACACTAAACTACACATGATTAATAATGGTGACAATCCCTAATCCTAAACGATTAACAAAAGATTCTCTATTTTCCATAAGAAAACAAAAAAAAAAAAATTTCTAGCATATCTCTCGCCCACAAGCAAAGTTTAAAAAAGTTTCCAGGGATGCAAAATCGAGGAAAATTTAAAGAGAAGAAGGAGGAGGCAAATAGTCCCATCCTCTTTTTAACTGCTACTGCCATTGACAACTGGACTCTGCATCGTCCAGCTGTGAAAACTCCACGTGTCCTCAATCCATTCGTCCGTATCTGTACTCCCCTTCTTTTCCGACAGCGACTTGACATTACCCCTTTGCCCCTACAATACGGACCAGCTCCGACCCAGCTCATTTAAGCCGATTTTCATTTTCCCCATTCCAACGGCTACAACAACACGTTTGATTTACTATTTGATTTCACCGATGATTCGTCGGAACCGGAATCCGACGTGTACAACATTAATCTCACGTGGATATGCTGACGTGGCACCTGGCTTCCCACTGAAGCCTCTCTCTCACAAAAATTTTTTTTTCCCTCTGGGCTATAAATTCCCACTGTCCATACAATGGCCCTCTGCACTAGAAGCTTCAAGCTCTCCTCCTCCTCTTCCACTACTTCTTCTGTTACTGCAGTAACTAACTATTCCAAGTTTTCTTGATCCATCAATGGCTAGTTTGGGTTCCATTTCGATGAAAAAATTGTGGGTTTTGTTGGGTTTTTGTTGCTTTGCTTTGTTGTCAATGGTGGATTTGGTTAGCTCTTCATCATCAAAATTTGATGAGCTTTTTCAGGCTAGTTGGGCTAATGACCATTTCGTCTATGAGGGTGATGAGGTTCTTAAGATGAAGCTGGATTACAACTCTGGTATTATATAATCAACATTGCTTGCTCATTTTTCTTGACTTAATGTACTCATTCCACTTGATGTTATTTTCATGTTAATCATTCTTTGGTTCTTGAATAATCAGGTGCTGGATTCCGGTCAAAGAGCAAGTATATGTATGGAAAGGTTACAGTTCAGATCAAGCTTGTTGAGGGTGACTCTGCTGGAACTGTCACTGCTTTCTATGTATGTTTAATTCGCTAGTATTTATTTGCTTTGTTTATACTGCTGTTATCAGGTTAAAAAAAGTCACTTCTGGCATGAGATTATACTCAAAATTCTGTGTTTTTATTTTGGCAAAAGTTACTTTGTGATTGGTGATTAGTAGTAGTACTACAATTCATTCAAAGCATTCGTATTAGATTTGCAGTGCCAGAAAGAAATAAAGCCGGGAATTATATTGTAATGCATATATTTGGTCAGTCTTAGTGCCCTGTTCCTTTCAATCTTGTCAGCATGATCCATCCAATAGGGTGGAGAAGTATTATTATTATTATTACTTTCACCATTAGTCCTTTTTCAACCCACTTTTTTGTCCACACATTGTTTACATTTGAATAATCAATCAAGATTCTTTACTTTTCATCGGGCACCAAAGTCACTCACATAAGTGGCTTTATTGGTAAGATCATCTACTGGCTTTGGCCTTGTTTATTGGCACTATGTCGTCACTTTTATAAGATTGACTTTGCTAATGATTGTAGTCAAAATTTTACTCTTTAGTGGTAGCTTAATGATGTGATTTAAATGTGATAATTTTACTATTTTTTACATGGGCAGATGTCATCTGATGGTCCAACCCACAATGAGTTCGATTATGAGTTTCTTGGCAACACTACTGGTGAGCCTTATTCTGTTCAGACAAATTTGTACATCAATGGTGTTGGTAACAGAGAGCAAAGACTGAAGCTCTGGTTTGATCCTACCACTGATTTCCATGCCTATTCCATCCTCTGGACCCCTCGCAAAGTCCTGTAAGCTCTCAATGATCTTAGCCTATTTGAAAAATTTTCGCACATTTTTTTAAGGTTAACTACTTGATTATTTATGTCCCTGACTGCTAAAGCACATTGGATAAATGTTATGTGTAAAGGGCAACAGAACAGGACTGGAAAAAAAAAAAAAAGAGATTAGAGCTTTTTTTTACTGCCTATGGTTTGGACCAGTTTCTGTATACTTGTACTGCCAGTTTAGTCCACACTAAATTCCAGCTATGTCTGTGTGAAAGTATTAGGTTGATAAGGTTCTTGAGGTTTTACTGGACAATCCCTTGATTATCCACCTTCCTTTTTCTTTTCTAGATCGTGTTTAGGGGGTGTAAAAAAGTGAAACAGAACAAGACTAAAAACAGGATTGAAGCTTGTTTTACTCTCATCACTTGGACCAGTTTCTAAATGCTAGTACTGCCAGTTTGTTTATAGTCCACAGGCTAGAGCCAATTTGCTAAGAATGCAAACAAACTTTGCCATTACAAACAAAAAGGAAAAGACATGGAAGGAAGAGGAGTATGCATGGATTACCCAAGGGGTCCATGCATATTATGATTGACTGACAAATTAACGCATCCTGTCTTCCCATGTATTCAAATTAATGTCGTTTGGCATATTCCCATTGGCTAAATTAAAGAGTTCTATAGCCTTTTAAATGTCAAGTGATTTCTTTTCAAAATATTAGTTTCTTGAATTTTGACACACAATTTAAGATTATTGTATCTAATGAAATAGTAGTGTGATTATATGACTTGTTAAGGTAACTCCAATAATGTGCAACTTTTTCAGATTCTTAGTAGATGAGACACCTATAAGAGAACACTCTAACCAGGAGGATAAGGGCATACCATTCCCCAAGGATCAACCTATGGGAGTCTATAGTTCCATATGGAATGCTGATGATTGGGCCACACAAGGTGGTAGGGTAAAGACTGATTGGAGCCATGCACCCTTTGTAGCTTCCTATACGGGCTTTGAGATCGATTCTTGTGTGGTTCCTGCAACAGTGGCAGCAGCAGATTATTCTAAGCAGTGTAGCAGCAGCAATGAGAAGAAGTATTGGTGGGATGAACCGACAATTGGAGAGCTTAGCATCCACCAGAGCCACCAGCTCATTTGGGTTAGGGCCAACCATATGTTTTATGATTATTGCACTGATACTGCTCGGTTCCCGGTTGCACCTCTTGAGTGCCAGCACCACCAGCACCGCCACTAGTGCCACCACCGCTCAGCCATTCTGGTGAAAAAAGGGGTTCATAGTAGACTGTAAAAATTTTAGTATGAAGGCATTAGTGCCAAATAGACATGAACTCCATCATGTTACATAAATCTTCAATCAATCACTTGTTGTTTTGGGCATGTAAGATAAATGGTTGCTTTGATTATTCATTAATCTACTTTTCGTTTTCTGATGTCTACACATTTCCATTGTAGCATAATTTTAGTCTTCCATCATCCTCTATCATGTTGGACTATGCAAAAGATGAATTTGCTTATCCTTGCACGACTCCTCCCAATTTGAAAAGAGTAGGAGCAAGTCTCTTTCTCACATGTGAAACTCATGAACAATACAGTTTGAATCTGTAATGATTAAAGAAATTAAAAAGGCTGGTTGAAAATGCATCAAAAATCAAAACACACCTCCTCGGCCTAATGCATTGCTCACGGGACCATTAAGGGGAGGTCGGACATGGAAAGCCGGGGCCATGATGACAGGGCCGGAAAGAAAAAGTTAACAGATGTGGGTCTCAATTGCTGTTCAAGAATCAGAGGGGTGTGCCAATAGGGGAAGTCCCAACAGCCAGTGGAGGAAACCAGCAATTTCTTGAAAACCAGTAGCTGCATGTATGGCTTGAAAGGGTTGGTTAATATTAACCAGCAATTTCTTAAGCAAAACGATTATGCCGAGAGGTTTTTGTCTAGTGATTAAATTTTAAGATTTAGAAATTTAAATTTAAATCTTTTTGCTTTCCTTCTTGCTTTTTAAATTACACCATTTCCTTGCTAGAAAAGAGAAGAACAATATATCCCACCATTTTCTTGCTGGAAGAAAAGGAAGAAAAAAGGAAAAAGATGATGACAAGACATATCCCTAAAGCGTTTATTTGCTGGTCATTTTTCCTCTTCAATTGAATAAACACTTGGGATCTATTCAAAGAACAAACCTCAGGATAGCTGGAAAACATTTTGGAGACATGCCAATTGCTATAGATAAACTGTGGAAAGCGTGCTCCAAAAGGGACCTTTCAAGTAGTAGTGTGTCTACATTCATGGTAGGGTTAGAACAAATAATTGATGGCTAAGGGTGAAAACTGCAGACATGAAATGGATCAAAGTAACACTTTGGGGCACAAAATCACCTTCAAAGGTACTTTCTTGATTTTTGTTTGGACAATAAATCCTTGAGGTGGTGGTTGGTTCTTGTACAATACTTGTCGGTTATGATCTGGAGATGCAGCTTCAATACGTTAGGCAAAGGTGGATATGGATAATGATCAACAAGATGGAATTAACAAAAAAAGAAAGAAAAACAAAACCATGTTCTGATGGGCACTTACAAGATCTGATGAAATCTATGAGGAGTATTATGCTTGCACTAATCAGAATTGTTTGATTATCTGTGTATAAGCATTTTGTGATTGTTTCTCAACTTTGTGAGAAACTACTATATAATTTAGCCTAGTTTTGGTTGGTCAAAATTTTTACCACCATGTAATTTTATTAACAATTGAAAGTGTGATGATACTATATGCTTGATTATGCAAGTAACTTTTTTGCTTTGGGGTTCAATCTAATTAAAAATTGCTTCAACATTGTGGTTGGATAATTAGTTATTCTTGACTGATCAAAAGAGGCTTATTAAAAGGAAACGATAGGATAAATGCTTTTTTTTTTAGTACTGATACACAGATGAATAATTGACCATTACAGCTCAAAATAATGACACAATTATGCTCCTTCAGAGACTAATTAGTGCTAAATTTCCACTGTGGAATAGTTAATCATGGGTTTTGCAATGTCCACTATGAACTATATAATCATGAGTCCTGTATCAAACTGTAGTACAATGTGCTGTTGAGCACTAATCAAACAGAGATACAATTATGGCAGATTTAAATAGTGTAGTACTGTTGCCTGCTGCAAGTGTAACCACATCATGAATTCAATGCCCTCACAATAATTACCAGTTCTATCAGTGGACCATGAAACTATGAATCTAATGCTCCCCAACTACAACGAGATAAATGTTCTGATTCTCATAAAGTAGTAAATATATGTCCAATAATGCAGTCTGAAAACATATCTTATTAGCTAAATCTGTGCATTAGTACAACTTAGATTACACTGATCTTCAGGATGATCTCCTTGTGAGACTAATTTGTTATGGTTTGTCAATGACCTATGACTTTTAGGAGAAAAATATTCCTCAAAAGTCTACACTTGTGACCAATAGGATGTACACTTGCCCACCTAAAAGGAGGGGAGACTTCAAAGCCACAAGAAAAGATTAAACAAGACATGATAGAGCTTAAGGTCTTCACAAGCTATCATTCCACATTCCAAGGTTGAAGAACACTTCTCTTCCAATTTTTGCTGTTATTTTTAAGTGAATTTAATACTATGTGGTATTGTGCCGTGCCCAAACTCAATAGATGTATCACTTACACATTGATAATCTTGCCTTAAACCCAAATTATCACACAAGTACTTTAAAGTAGAAACAATGAGAGATGGGAACCTCATAAACTTTTATTTTGCTTGAAATTGTTTAGTCTTTAGATGCCTCTTTTACTTTTTATTTCAACAAATTAAAACCACCCCTTTTCTTTATTGCCTAGTGGACTAAGCATGGTCGTAAAGGAAGATTCTAAAAATTTTTAATCTCACAAGATTTTGTGATTAACATATGAGAAGAGATGAAAAGATTGACAGGCAGCTTAATCATTGGATTTGATTTTTAGTGATTCTAGTGACAAAGCAAGGATAAATACAATGCTGCTCCTGTTTCACAGCTGGATCCAGTGCATGGAACACTGATAGCGTATAACCTAGAACCATGAACAAGATTGATTAAACTTGATGGAGCCATGCACCCACAGGGGCCAGGGGTGGACCATGGATTTCAATGGATTTTGGAACCCCCCCTTTTATTTGGTTCCTTCATTCACCAGAGGCTATATAGGACAATCGTTTGCTTTTAAAATTGTGGTTGCAGACAGCAATTATTGACAGTAAAGGCTCCCAGTCCCATATGCGATGAGAAATCTGTAGAAGAGAGAGAGAGAGAGAGTAAAATGTGTAGGAGGAAATGGTTTATCTTGTCAAGTTGAAGGATATGGAAATTTGGACCTCAATTATGTGCTCCATTTATTACCCAACAAGAAAAGAAAATGGGATTTTGGACCACATCCAATAAATCAAGAAAAAGTGATGGATCGAAAATTGCCAATAAAAGTTGAGGATATTGACTTGAGAATCCTATGCTTTAGTGAGAAATAGCACAGCAATAGAAGCTGTTGGTAATAGTTTGCTAAAGGGATTTGGTCCTTATAGAAATACATTATGTGAAGTGCATCAATTCCTGCCCCATAGATGTACTTTTAACTAGTTTGTATTAGAAACTCTGACTTTTGAAAGCCTCTCCAAAGATAAAAAATTACAACAATAATAATCAAACTCCCAACACAATGTGTACCATTGTTTAGCCATCTAAATAAGCAGCACAGCAATAGGACCAATCCATTATTATGTCTACAAATATGTTTGTTATTTTGTAGAATTTCATACACGAATTTTGTTTCTCATTTGCTAAGTTCTATAAGTGGTAGTATATGACTCACTATCCAGACTCGATGAAGTGCATAAATTGGCGAGTTTTGTTATACTATTTGCATGCTATTTTATGATAAATCTTTTCTGCACCGTTAGTGTAAAATTTCTTTTTACACGAGTAGCCTTAAATCCATGTCAACATTTATGAAAAAAGATTTTGAAATTTAAATAAAAATTGTATGTTATATATCTAAACCTGTGCATATATAAAAATTTTTATATTGACAGTGTAAAAAAGATTAATCTCACTTTTTTACTATGTAAAACTCAGAATTCAAGAAAAGAAAATAAAGCAATAATAGCGGACACCTACTTGAATGGATTTGGGCCAAGTAATTGAGGTGTAAGGTAGACAGCTACTTGAGTGGCCCAGTTATGGAAATATCCGTCAGATTCTTGCTTGAATGGGCTTGTACCCATCCCACCAAGTGCTGCTCAGATTCAAGGCTGAGCACTAGATGCCCAAATCCAAGAGCATCTTTTGCCAGTTTTCTCTATGGGCTCAACTTCATTCAACAGGTGCATCAACAACAGACTCGGTTTTCTCGTCTGTGCCGCATTATTACTTGCAAGAGTCATCATGGACCTACAATTGTTGGTCAAATGTCTAAACAAGATTTGTCTGTGTGCTACACCTACTGACACTGAAATATAGCTTCAAATTTTAGAGTTTTGATAACATAAAAATGCAACACCAAAGGTCATGTTTTCACTGTAGATAAGATTTGTAGTAGCAGTGGCAAGTGGCAACAAATCCAAATGTTAGTATATTTAAGTTCAAACTTGAAGATAATAACTTAGGTTTAAACTCGAGTTGGACCTCAACTAATGCTATATTCGCGCGCAACGGATCTTCTGTCCCACATTCTGTGCTGCTCTCTATCTCATTTTTTTATTATATTGCTATTTTTCCTTCACAAACATCATGTTTTAATTCTTTTTTATTTCCTTATGATCCAATAACCATTAATTGAGTAAAACATAATATTTAACAAACTCAAAAAATCAAAATGCATAAAAAATGAGATTTTTTATGAATTTTCTGCTGTGTTTTTTAATTTTCTATTATATATTAGTTTTTTTTGAAGCTGTTGTATTTATTTTTTACTCAATTAATAGTTATTGGATCATAAGGAAATAAAAAAGAATTAAAATATGATATTTGTGAAGGAGAAATAGCAATATAATAAAAAGTGAGACAGAGAGTGGCACAGGGTGCGGGACAGAAGATCCGTTGCTATATTTCAAGTGCTTGAAATTGACTCGATAAAATACCAAGGAGTTTGAGCTCTCTCGAGCAAGCAAAAAGAGCTCAAATTGAGTTCGAACTCGAGTTTGTCCGAAACAAGAATTTGACCATATATGGAGATTTAGGCAATTTCATCATTATAAAAAAAAACATATAAAAACTCAACGAGTTTTCAAATTGAATATCTTAATGCTCAAAAACAATGTGGTAAAGGGTTCGAACAGCTCGAGTTTAAGTCAAACATTTGACTAAACTGCTCGTGAGTTGCTCAGCTCGTTGTCACAACTAATCTGTAGTGGCAAGAAGAGAGT